CTCAATAGTAGTCAGAAAGGATGCTTATTTCAAAATTTATTTGGTTTTACATTTATATTCATACTAAGATCTCCTGTGACAGCACAACATGAATTGGTCACAGGCTACTGGCTTATCCATTGGAGTAAACTGCAATGATCTGAAAACTGACGTTTTGAAATGTTGAATATGGATATTGTAACAGATGCAGAAATTTAAATTGTTAAGGTTTGAGTTACTTTTTCAGCATTCTATACAGTAAATCTTTTGATTTGGACAGCTTGGTAGGCTTGTCCAGACTGAGCAGCTATCTTTTCTAAACCAAATTCATCCAACTTTTCACAGTTAAAAAATACATGCAGCTCAAAAGCCACTTATTCCTGTTCCTTCCAATTCAGAGAAAAACTTAGGTTGGTTTTAATGACAACATTAACGCAGGTTTTGTCCTGACTTTAGTTTTGTGCCAGCATGCTTGACTTCAACACAGTTGATTTTAGCTTGATTGGGCTTCTCTGGCATGTGAATGGTAACATCTAACCAAGTAGCCTGTCCAGTGCCCAAGGTCTGTGTGACTTTTCTCATGTGAGTTGGCCAAATTTTGAAGATTTTCTGAAGACTCTACACTTGAAAGTCRGGGAAAATGCCTCAGTTCATGGATCGCTTCCCCAGTTATATAATACTTCTGCATTCCTTTCTCAACTTGTACCGAATAGGTTGATTTAGTGAAAATACTAGTGAAGAAGAATATTTATCACTGCAACTTGTTTTTTTTTTCCTTACATGATCATAAATGCTGCGAATGTGATGCTGCTTATTGAAGAATTGTTTAGGACAGACACAGGCTCTGAATTAATGGAACAGGCAAGTCACTTGGAAAAATAAAGTTTTCTATTCAGCTGTGTTCATTATTACACCAGTGCTCCTTGATTTTAATGATATTTAGCTTTCCAGCACTTGTGTTTTCCACTCTGTCTAGATATTTTCCTTTCAGAGGTTTTGTTTAAAGTTCAAAATACAGCCTTATGATATTGCTTGCTTCATGTGTTACCACTTTACTCATTTTTACTAAGCTTTTCCACTTGTYTGTGTAACAAAATAACTTCCCTGCAGTTATTTTTCTGATTATCTGTATCAAGTTTCTTAGGCTTTCTTCATGTTTTACAGCAAACTATAGCAAGGACGAAAATAGTGTTTAAGAAAGAAGCTGATCATTAATGAGAGTTTAAAAGCATTAAAAGCATAACCTAAAGGTATGTTTTTGCTGTGAGGAATCTCTATGAGTACCTTTTGTATTGTAGAAATAACTTGGAGCATATATGATTAAATCTACCTTCTAATGTTAGATGTACTGAAATTTAGTGAAGTATGTTGAGTTTGTCCCAGCCTACACAAACATCATATAAACTTGGGGTAAGTTTATTTTAATTAGGGAAAAACTTTGCCACCATTAACAGCAAAAAGCAATGATAAAAARAAGTMTACTTCTTTGCTGTATAATTTGTGAATGAATGGAGAGATATAGGTGACATGAATCTAGAAGGAAGGAAGGGAGGCTTCCACAAGCTTAAAAAAATAAACTATGGCTGTGTACATAACCAGATATTTATCTTGTTATCACATACCAGTCCCAGGGCATGTCAAGCAAACCTTCTAGTATTTGCTGTGTAGGTTCACTATCAAATGCRGTAGCAGGTGGGGAAGCAGCTATTTGAAAAGCTTGAAAGTGACTCTGGTTGAGAAAAGCCATTCTATTTTAAATAAGCAAATTTTTTTTTAAAAAAAGTGGAATAATTACCTCCAAATAGTGTGTGAGTAGGAACTTATTTAATATTTATATTTTTAAAGTGACTTTTAATTGGTTCTTAATAAATCTAGTTGTACAGTACTATCATGATCTGTGAATATTTAATATATATATATATTTGGTAAATATAGTGATAAACTATTCCATACTAATTAAAACATAAGATGCAAATAGAAAAGAAGAAAAAGAAAAATAAATGCAAAAGATTTGAGAATTTCAAACTTGCAAGAAGTCTCCTTKTCATTAGCATCATTCAACAAAATTTTAAGCATCTGTCAAGGAAGACAGATGATTACAGAGCTTTATAAGTATAAAAATGTCAGAAGTGTCAGAGCTCAGTATACAAGCTTCAAGTAAATGAACTTGGAGTTCACTTCAAACTCTGTGGAAAAATACCTTTACAGGTATGTTAAACTTAGTCTTACCTTATAAAGTGGGTTTAATGTCAGTTGGCTATATATTAGTTTTGTTGAGGATGACTGGAGAAAATAAGCTGTTTGATTTTCAGCTTCCTTTCAGAATAGGAACGATAACCATAACTATCTTATTTTCAAAGAATGAAAAATAAACTTTGTTTTGTTTTGCTCAAGCTTAGCAGAGGGAGAGACTGGAGCTAATTAAACACACCTCTGGTGCTGAATTTTGTTTTTCTTCTTCGGATCATGGAATTTTAGTGTAACTCACTTTGTTGTGAAGTCTTTCCATTACTTCCATAGAAATTTGTTACTGAGTTTTCCCATCTGAAATGATATTATCMTTTTAATATCTTTGGACCAATTACTCCAAAAATAGTTTTATGACAGGATTGTTGTCCTGGGAGAGCGAAGGGAAGGGAAAAACACCAAGAAGGGAGATTCTGGGAGCTGTTTACAAAGATCTACTAGGACTTCATCGGTTACATAACTTGATAAGGCCTTGTACTAACTTTGTCCTGATATTTGGAAGGAAGATGCTATATTATGTCATAAAKATATTATTGAATGATTCCTCGATAAGCCAAAACCAAACATGTGTCTGGGTTCTCCTAGACACAGGGAGGAAGATCTGTATTCAAGTGTGCCAAAACAAGGACGAGCTGGAGAAGCTGCTGTATCCATAAACATTTGTTGCAACCTCTGGCCAGCGTGGGCTGTAAAATGAGGTATTTATATAAAGAAGTATTTGCTGCAGATGTGCTGCTGTTACCCCATTGCACCAGCCTGTCTTTTGCAATGCCTGCCATGAGCTCCAGAGGGCAGGGTCACATCAGGATCTAGAAGAGCTTCTGCACAGGCAGGGGCTTCAAGCAGCCGTGTCCTTTCCTAAACTTCCTCTTACTTCTTGATATGGTAAATGGGGACAACATTACAGGAATTATCTTGCCTCCATGGACAGAAATGGAGAGCTTGGAATGAACCTCTTTTTTCTTTTTTGTTTTGGTGCTAAATCCCATCTTTCATGTAAGAATAGTTGACCCAGGCTAAAGTCAAACGCAGACCGTGAAAGGGTGCTAAGGCCTGTGATCCGTGCAGCGTGCGAGGGCACTGCCTGTGTTTCCACGGAATGCCGGCCTGTGCAGCACTCCATGTCATGCTGTTGTTTCCAGCCTAGCAATGCCAGGTCCTGGCAGCAGCAGTCGCTCCGCAGAGCTGGAATCCGCACTCCGCATCGTGCCGAGGGCACAGCTGCGAGTGGGGCATTTACAGGGCGCACTCACAGGAAATTGCATCTCAGCTCCTTGGATGTTTTCCAGCAGATCTGTCTGGAAGGTTTAGGATGCTTGTGACTTATGGGTTACAGGATTGTTTTGGAAACAGCTGCTATGTTTGAAGTAATTGAGCTGAAGTGTTTTGCAGTCTCCACGCTGACGGCTACAAAACCAGACCAAGCGAAGGGGCTTTTCTGCCTCAACCCAAAGAAAACGGGCCCTGCAGAAGTTGCCCCTAGGGTGCTTGGGAACGTGCAGTACGCTGATCTCGAGGGGGAACAACCAGTAGGGAAGTGTTTGGCTGGGGAGCAAGTTTCCAAAGAGGAAGGTGCAGTTTGAGGGGTCAAAAGGCTCAAGCTGCCCCAGGTTGAGATCCCTGTGGGCAGCGCCGTGTATGGAGCTCGCRGGCTCCTCTGGTGCAGGGGCTGCAGGTTTGTGGGTGCTACCGTGGGGAGCYGCATTGCACTGTTGTACTGCATTGTACTGGGGAACCACTGGGACAAGGTTTTGTTGTGACACTTTCACTGGGACAGCTACAGGTTCTTTCCCATGTTTTTAATTCGATGTCTTAGTTGTGAGGAGGCTGAGAAGTTTAAAGAAGAACAAACAAAATGCCACGGAGGCAGAAAGGGCAACGCTCTGCCAAGCCTGGCCGGCAGCCATCCAGAAGCAGAGATGAAAAGTCTCAACACAAAAGAAGGCTCAAAGAGACAGCTGGGGCAAAAAGAGGCGCGTGAGTGGAAAAAGAGAGTGATCAGAGACCAAGCAGGTGAGCCCCTTTTGTAAATTAACTCTCCTGACGTGTGCCTGAATGAATGATGTGCGAACTGTATTCAGAGTAGTGTATGCCTAGCACAAGCTCATTGCTTAAGCCAGGTATTAGGATACAGTAAACAAAACCAATTAATTGCAAAGTTTTTCAAAAAAAACAAAGCAGGTGCTTCTCTTCCTTTCTCTCTCCTCCCAGTTGTAGTTGTATTTACTACAACTGACTAGTGGGTAGGTCCAATGGATTCAATGTTTGAAGCAATTAATGCCATTTAGACTTAAGTCTAAGTCTAAATAAAATGTTTCTAAACTACATTGATGCAAGTGAGCTAAGGCTCAAATGACCAATAACAATCTGTAGCAGTCTCACTAGGGGTTGCAGTTTTCAAAGGGACTGAACATCTCGTTTTGTGAAGAAGTACTGGCATGTTATCTTTTTACAAGGAAGGTATCGCTTTAGTCCTACTACAATAGACTATGTCCTGTGGAACAAGTTAGGGAYATATTTATAAAGCACACTTGCTCAGAAGTTAGGGCTGTACATTAGAAAAGAGATCTTTCCACTTCCCAGAGAGCGTCAAATTCCTTTATAAGTACATTTACATCACAAACAAAAGTCTTATCCCCAACAGCAGGACCAGACTTGTCAGTTAAGGACCTCATCTRAAGAACTGGCAACAGTCACACTGAAATGAGTGGCACAAGTCTTAACTGCTATCTGAAGTGAGACACTAAAGCAATGAACTATAGACAAAAGTTTTATTTTAAGGAAAAAGGGGTAAACTTAAAAAATAATTTAGTCCAGTGAGTAATTTTTCTGCAAGTATCAGAAACAGCTGACTGCTAATACATTGCAGTAGGTATTGTACAGTCTTCTTACAAGAGAAAAGATGTTAATTCAATGCCATGTTCTCTCATCAAAAAGAGAGGGAACATCCTTTGATTCTTATTTCACACAAACCCTGTTCAAAGCTGCTTGTTGCCCTTCCTCCCTTTTATAAAGATGGATAGAGGTTACTAATACAAAAAAAAAAGTTCTCTGCTACAAGAAACTGTTGTCTTCAGATGGCGGTTGTAGAGGGATGCCAACAAAGAGGGACTGCTGCAAAATRTATTTTGCCACAGAAATCTTGTGGCTGTTGACCTTCATGCTCCAACATCCGAGGTTACGGCTGGGTATTTGTAGCAGTACAGTTTGTTGTCTGCGCCACCACTCAGGAGCAACTGAAAGGAGAAACAAACTGCGGTAAGTAACAAAACTAAGCAAAATACCCAAATTTTCCAGTTGAAAACACAATATCCTATTGAGAACATATATTTCTCAAAAGGGTATTCTGCTGTTCTCACATCCTTCCCTGCTTGGAATGTTGGTGTAATGTCCAATTAATGCTATGGAACTTAACCCCCCACCATCCTTCATAGCATGATGATATGGGAAGTGCTGCAATGTAACTCAATGCAGCACAGTAACTCCTTCTCTTACCCAGTATCAAAGCACAGTAAAACCTCCTGCTCTTTTCCACATTTAACCATAAAGGAAAAATGCTTTGTAACTGCTGTCGGCCTCTTCCTAACCACTCTGTGTGTACATGGGGCATCTTGCCCCTGAGGTTCTTACCCCTGCTTCTGTCCAGTCCACACACAAAACCTTGTCTTCATGGGCAGCCAAGTCATACAGCGGAGCTTTGCAACTGGTAAAACAAAGACATTTACTGTCACACAGCTGAAGTTATGTGAGCAGTTACTGTATGCAAAAGTGATCCCAGGAAGAAATACTGGCAGGATGCTCTAACAGATGTGGTCTAGTAGTTACAAATGCTTTCACACAGCGCAGATAGCCACCATCTTTGTGTTTTTATTGCTTTCTCCAGAGATCTTCACATCAGTTTTAACATCTACRTCTCCAAAAGGAAAAGTGGCAATACTTTTTCATCTGCTTGCAAATGGCTTKAATGGGATGAAGTTTAAGGAGTTCATGTTTTGTTGTTGGTGGTTTTGTTTTTGTTTGCAATTTATTATACAGTTTTCTCCTGTTTCGATACTGCTTGACTGTATTCTCCAGAGAAAGCATTTACCTCTTGCAAATGCACTCTCGTTCTCTCCTTGGAGATTTGTAATGAAAGCTCTGAAAAGGGGAGCAAGTAAAACTTCACATCATTAATCTCTTTTTTTAGATATGTTTTGCCTCTGCTGTTCTTATTTCTAGTAGCAATGTTGTTATTGCTGCCTTTTGCATTTCAATCRCTTTTATTTTTAATGACAGATAAGTCTTGTGCTGGACCATCATATAGCTCTTAAAGTTGTTAAGCCATTGTTAAGTCTGGTAGGGCACAAGTATTTTTTTTCTCCCATTCCTAATATGTTTGACTCCTAAATACTAAAGGATTTTCAGAAACACTGAGGCTGTTCTTTCTCATTTCTTTCTCTCTGTTTACTTTTCAGGCTGTTTTTCCTGTTTCGCTAGGTTAAATGGCTATATAAGCTCACATGCCTTTAAAGAGCAAGGAATGCATGTTTGTTTTACCTCCTTGTGTCCCAAAGCTTCACAATGTTGTCCAGAGAACCTGAAATCAGTTGATGCTCATGGGTGGGGGACCACTTCACAGCTGTCACCCAGCCTGTGTGAGAAGTCAGGGACAGGAGAACCAAGGAGCCATCTGGACAGAAGAAGAAAAATGTCACTCAGCAGCTGTCACCTGAAGCATTGCCTTTCACACTGTGTACAAAATCCAGTGAGGAAAAGCAGTAAGAGCCACACCTAGGGCTTCAAGATAGGAGTTTCTTCCCCATTATTCTGTAATTCCAATTTTAAAAACAAAAGTAAATTTTGGAGAGAGCAAATACTGCTATACAATTTCTGGTCAAAGGAAAAACAAACCACAAAACACACAAAAAAACCCCACTAAACTCTCTTTACAATCTGCTCTTTTTTTTTTTTTGCGAGGAGGAGGGCCTGAGGGCTTTTAAACCCTGAATCACATTTATAGAAGCTAAACAAGTATAAATGTATGAAATAAATCAGGTAGGCTGTGATAAGGGTTTAGCCACCTTGTCAGACATGGCAACATTACCTGAGAAAATTGGCTACTTTTTCACTTTAGTGATCATCTCCCCGATTCAAACTTAGCTGTGGCAGCGAGCTCACCAAAATAAAACGAAACCAAAGGAAGCAAGTATAGCTTTAGGTATTTAACTTCACAATTGAAGTTAATCACAAACCAAATATTCAATTGTGCCAAATTCATTTTCCAAATTGTAGGTATCAAATTGAAGAAGTCTTGCATCAGATGATGGAAAACAGAAGCAATGTTTATGTTACATCTACGCTCCCACATGGCACCAGAAAACAGTCTGTGAGATTGTCCTGCACCAAGGAGAAGCTCCAGTTCTGATGAAACAGGTCTGTGCACAAGCCTGTGCCAGCTCACCTTTGCTGCGAGGGTCCCACAGTCGAATGTGTCTGTCGGTGCTCCCAGATGCTAAGCGGCGACACAGCGGTGAGTAGGAGATAGAATTAAACACCTTGTTTCCTGTCTGTCAAAAAAGAAAGAAAACGGAGTAATTCGAAGAAAGGAGCTCCTGTCTTTGGCTCTGTACAAGTATTTAATGTGGACAACCCTTAAGTTGCCTATAGTGATCTCACCAAAGTTGATTTGAGACCTCCTGTCTCGGCATCCCACAGTTTGATGGTGTGGTCCCAGGATGCGCTGCAGATTTCTTCAGCATCTGACCACAGCACAGAAGAGATGGCTTCTGTGTGGCCAGACAGGGTGGTGAGGGGGGTCTGCAAGTCAAGGGGGAAAAGAGACTGGAATGAGTATGGCAGACCAAGCTATTGTTTCAGTGAATAAGCATGTCGGCCTCAGGCACATCACCAGAAGTTTCCATTTTTAACAAAGTGAAATTATTTTACATGGCCACAATTTTAAAAGGAAATTGTGGGCAAATCTGGACCTCATTTTACCCTTGTGAGTCCCAACTGTTCAGTTTTCTGCTTTTTCCGTGGTCTGTTAGCTGCCTCTTCCATTTCATCCTCTTCATCTGTAGGTACTATGACAGGAGACAAACTCTGTTTAGAGACTTTTGAAATAGATTTTCATATGATAAAACATATGAAATAGACACAAACTTCTGAGTGTTCTGAATAACATAAATGGCAGCAGGTAATCATCAATCATATCTGAAAATTGTGTTTGCAAACAGAAAACAGAACTTGAGAGTCATATATAGTCTTGCAAAGCTGSTATAAAAAATGGCTGTAGCTTGCCTTCAGTGTTGTTGCATATGCCAGTTTTCCTTAAAGACAAAAATGTTCTGATATCTATCATTGTCATGATATCTATTATTATCTATCACCACCTTGAAGTTCTCCAAAGCCCATAATCCCAGTTTATACTTATCTTACCTGCAGACCAGATCTTTAACATCTTATCCCAAGATCCACTGCAGAACTGTATGAACAGAAACATTGTATTAAAAGCTAATCAAGACCTTYTAAGCTGTATCAAGCAGCGCATGCTGCTTGAAAAAATAGCCAATGCTTTCTAACACAKGAACAACAGCACTGGAATCCTGAAAATGGAATTTTTGGTATATATTTTTTTGCTTGCAGAAAAAAAAAATCTACAAAAGATATCTTTATTTCCTTCTGCCCCAAAATGTTTTATTTTAACCTGTTTGACAAAGTGAAGCAGTGAATGGTGACTCCCCCTTCAGTATTTATGCACTTACTGTTAAATTCACAGATAAAAGCAAAGAAACTTTTCTGCCACCTCACTTCAGGTATCTTTTCACAGGTAATATTATTTGTGAATTTAGGGGTAATTTGAAAACAGTTCATTGCAACCTATACTCAAATTTATGCTACCTGCAACATTTACTTAAACTTCCAGCTTTGCTCTCAGAAGTCAAAAGCAAAACTTTTACAAGCTCTGTGCTGTGTGAAGTCACACTCAGCTTTTTGCAGTACTGGAGGTGCAGTATTTAAAAAGATTGTCTCGTACTGATGTAACTAACAACTGTAATCCTTAATAACCATCATTTGTAACAATACCAGAAATGTGTATCCCAAAATATGGTTTCTGGGATACAGGCTGTTAATATCCCCAGAGATGAAGATCTCCCTCTGCAAGTCACTCACTTTAGTTCTTGTGCTGTCAACTGCAATGGTGTCCACRCTGCCGGCGTGGCCCCGGCAGCAGTGCAGGGCCTTCACCTTGTTCCTCTCCACGTTCCACTCCCACAGCAGGACAGTTTGGTCCATGGACGCACTGAGTAACAGGCACGACAAGCTGTCTGAGGAACAAAGAAGTCACGTTCACACTCAGCTCCACGTCCCAGAGCCTTTCGAGYAAGTATTCCAGTCACAGAAGAAACAGATACAGAATCCCATATATTCTCATTTGCACTATATTATCCTGCAAATGCAATGAATGTTTATTGAATGTTTAAATGCAATGAATGTTTAAAAATGCAATATGTTTAACAGTTGCTAATGAAGTCTGGTTAGAGACARTGTGCATGTTCATCACTGCCAAGGGAACTTTCTTTAAATGCAGTTATTTCTGACAGGCTAATAAATCCTAACATTTGGACAGATTACTCAATATTCTTTGGTTGAGGAAAATTGATGTTTCTCTCTCAATGAATCAAAGGATTATTAATAAGATATACTGACCTTGTTTTATCCATGCCACGTCCTTCACTACTTCTGTGTGCCCAGCTATTGTCATAATGGATTTTCCTTCCAAAGACCAGATTCGGGCAGTCTGGTCATAGGAGCCAGTTAATATCCTACAAGGTACAGAAGTTGAAACATTCTTGCCCTTAAAACAAATGTTTTATAAAAACAAACAAACAAACTTGTCTATCAGAAATGTAGGTAAACATTAATGTAGTGACTAGTTAGCTGAAATGAATGTTTTTTCTTGTATAAAAGTTTGAGTTGTGGAAAGTAAATGCATTTTTGTTACAGAGTGAGGGTTTGAGAATGTCTACAACTGCCAGGCTGGGAGCACAGGGGAAACAGGAAAGGCAGTGAAAGAAGACTACTATGTCTGCTGATAGGTAAGACTGATCTTACTGGATTTCATATGTTGTTTAAAATTTAAAAAGGCTGATGAAAGACTGTGAGCAATAACTTAGTTAACARTATGGTACGAGAGGATCTCAAAGCATTTTCAAACCATTCCATAGCATAGAAAAGCTGCCTGAGTGGACAATAAATTTGGAATTACAGTAGAAAGAGGCAACTAAAAGTACTGCATTTTTTTGTTTGGTTGTTTTTTTAAAAGAGCACAAAAGTTCTGCAGATTTATTTGCTGTTGCATCACTGTCACATCTGAAGTGAAGTTTGCTTAAGACAAGTGGAAAGAAAGAAATCATTGCTGTCCTTTGAGGGGCAGCGCGGGGAGCAGCCCTGCTCTTGAACGTTTGTATCGGAGCCACAGCATCTGCTGCGACCCTGGGTGTTTTTCCCTTGTGTTCCAGTCGGCACACAACAGAGATCTGTAAGGGCAGCTCGGTGGGAGCGGGAGCAGGGCGGCAGCGGCTGACGGAGCGAGGACGAGGAGGGAGCGGGGGCTCCGCGGCAGCCCCGGCCACGGTACCATTCCTCRGCGGCCTGCACGGCGCTGATCCAGTCGTCGTGCAAGATGCACTCCTGCGGCTGGGGCGCCACGTACTTCTCCACGTACTCGATTTCCACCACTTCTTCCTGCGCAGGGACGCGGGGCTCAGCGCGGGTGCGGGGGAGGGCGAGGGCTGCTTGCGGCGCTGCAGAGGCCGGGCCCGGGGCGCGGCGCCGCGCGGGCCGGGCCGAACCGGGCCGCACTCACCGTGGGGATGTTCTCGGCCTCCATGTGCGTGGCCAGCGGCAGGCGCAGGAACTGCCCGCGCACGAGGAAGTCGAACTCCACATGCTGRTGCTGGGCTGCAAGGGAGCGGGGCAGCGCGATGGGCCGCGGGCGGCACCGGGCCCGGCACCGGGCCGGGCGCGCGGCCGCCGCCAGCACCTACCGTGGC